TGAATGAATGAATGAATGAATGAATGAATGAATGAATGAATGAATGAATGAATGAATACCACATGATAAAATCTACCATAACATACTGAGGCACCAGGCCACAATATCCATTTTTACATTTTGGTTCCCTGCTTCCATAAGCAAAACATGTAGGGGAAAAAAGAGAACTAAGGAGCTAAATTTGTCAGTTACAAGTTGGCATCCAACTTGTTAGAAGAAGAGTTTGTTCCCTCCAAACTCTAGTCTTCTGATAATGGAGATCCTTTTTACCATCTTTGGTTCCTACAGCTCAAATAAAGGACCAGCAAATGATTAATGATTTACCGTGAAAGGTAAATCAATCTGGATTCACATACTGAGCTATAATGTGATTTCCCTGGTGGACAAGAGCCCCAGGATGAACCAGAACAAGCTGTGGTTTGTCTCTCTAGCAACTGGCAAAATGGCTCCCTCCTGTAGTAGCCGAACAGGCCCTCCCAGAGAGGTTCACAGCCGAGAATTCATGATTGCAAGAATATGTTCATGGAACATGTTCCCAGTGATTCTTTTCTGCCTCATAAGATACACAGGATAATGCACAAAAGCCAGCCTAAGGGGGGGGGGAGCGTTGTTGGTGATGATGGCTATCAAAAGATGCTCATACTGAAGTGGGATCCAGTTTGGTGGTTGGCAGCCACTGAAGGCTTTCTTGAAGTTGGCTAGAGCAGATGGATGCTGGGAGTTAGCAGCCATGACACCAGGCATGTCGAGGGCTTTTGCCCAATTGTTCCTCCCCAGATGATGCAAACAGAGTTCTGTGGAATTTTTCAGAACACCCCTCCAAGCAGTCGTCTTCTCCCAGCCAGCCCATTCTCCTTGGCTAAAGCCCTATATATATATAAACTGTGTGTGTGTGTGTGTGTGTGTGTGTGTGTGTGTGTATTCCCCTTTCATTTTAAAAAAGGGAGTTAGGAAAAAGAAAAGAGAGAGTCAGTGCTGCTTTACAATCCAAAGGGATTGCTATTAACTCAGGCTGGAGTTGGACAGATATGTAAAGAAAGAAAAAGAAAAGAAAATCTGGGCCTGGCAATGGCAAGTTGCAAAAAATGCCAAAGGAAAAGCAGAAAATAAAGCCAGCAACGTTTGCTTTCTTGTTCATGTTGGAAAATAAAGCTAATTGCAGATTGTGGAAGAAAAGAGAACAATCTTATTGCAGTGGCTGCAATATGCTGCAAGGTTAGGTGCCTTCTTTTGCTCTACAGTTGGTCTGAGGAACCTCATTGTCAAAGACTCGGGCTCAAAATGTGTCTAGAAGTTAGCCCCCATCACGTGCCTCCTCCCTCATACAGTGCTCTGAAAATACAGCTGGGGAAATCACCAGGAGTTCTCTTCCATGCAATGTAAGGCAAGGAAAAGCAGAGTGTTTCTCATAAGCTTCTTGCTCATGTTGACTAGTTGCAGCTCACCCCTCACAATCTTTGTGGAGTTTTTTTATTCGAGTAATCTCCTAGGAATCACAGATGACTTCAAGGCATTGCACAGTTGGTCTAGAAGGGCGTCATCATCTGCCAAGCTACTGTGGTGTGGTGCTTGTAGATTAGAACCAAGGAGGACCAAATTCAGCAAGGTCCTGTAGATATGGCTCAACCATACCTGCAGGACCTTGCTGCTTTTGTCACTGTTGCAGTGTCATGCCTCCCATGCCAAAACAATCTGCTTAAGTGGGTCTGTCCCCTTCTTGCCCCCAGCTCTGCCATATGGATACTGCTGTTCAACTCTACCCTCAGTCATGGAAGCTTATTGGATGACTTTGGAGCTGTCATTTATCTTTCAGCCCAACCTACCTCACTGGGTTATTGCTGTGGTGGAAAAGTTATTGACTGATTTTGTAGCTTATTTATCTATAGTTTTTGCAACCTGCCCCAGTCTGAAAACTCTGGGTAGCATCC